ACGCTGCCACACCCACACCCACCCACATCCACACCAACACCCACACTCACCCACCCACACCCACCGCCCCCCCACACCCACCCCCCCACCCACCCACACCCACCCACCCACCCACACCCCACATCCACACCCACTCACACCCAATACAGAATTAGTTCAACGATCGATGGTTATATGCTTTGTTTTGATTTGAATCTAGCGCAACGGTCGCGAAACGTTTTCAACAAATTGTCCTTCATAGTTACCTGGTGGTGAATAGTTTGCCACAACAACTTCTGTGTGTCCTTTGTTACCGTATGCAATACCCACGCCCAGACGTCTCGACCCTTTCCATACGACCTGGGTAAAATGACCAGCACGCATGCTGAAACCAGGCCGGCTGTAGTCGTAATCCCTAATTTCGTCGTACCAAGACTGAGTCGCATCGCGTCCTACGGCAAGATCATATCAACAGCAACAATTATCAATCGAGAAAAGAAAACACAACTTACCATGCGCACTAGTGAGCAGTGCTGTGCTGCTTTGCGTGTAAAGGTTTTCTCCATGTCCATTACGCGAATGCTCAAATTTGTTATGAGCAGCAAGATATTCAGCATAATTTTGTGCTGTTCTGCATAGATCTTGGTCGAGTTCGAGGGGTGGAGCGGAATGGCGTGCACGTAATCTATTATGATGCTCTCGACTTTCCTCTTGAAACTTCAATTGAGCTGATGTGAAAGTACCTATAATGCAAAGATCGATTCATATCGATTACAGCCCAACCAAGAAATATACACGTCTATGCATTTTTCTATGAGAAATTCGCTTTTTTATCAACCAAAGTTTAACCAAACAGAGAGCTTTCCGAGTTACGCCATAATGAAGGGCAACCGCGTCCTTTTTGGCCATCTCTGGATCTCAGCAACGGGATGGTTGATTGGGCTGAAATTTCCACCGCTGACAGAACATAAAAAATTGATGAGATCTACGTTTCAGAAAATATTTTTAATGCAAGATCTTTATGGTTTTTCCATGAAGGTTTATGGGATAAGGCGTTTTCATTGATATCGCTTATGATCATCCTCTAACTTTGTCAGATCGGACTAAATATTTTATCGACTGACATGACAGACATGTCCACCGTTCCAGACGCTACAGTGATCGTGGTTGTAAATTCGTGTTTCAGACAGACAGACACACACAGACAAAAATGAATTAATTAGCGTCTGACAGACTCTGGACTTTCAGTCTGGGGAAAATTTTTACCATAGAAGCAGCTCATACCTTGGAGTCTGTCCTGAAGTGTTTAGATTTTTATCGCAAATGGTTAGAGAGATATTCACTAATTTTCGGGTGTCCGAGGAAGAATGGGCCCTTCAGTATTTCAGTGACATCTGCATCAATTCCCATGCATCATGGGTAAAAGTTTTTTTAAGATTCGTCTTGTTGTACTTGACAAGATTCTGTAGTTTATATTTGATTCGAACTATTCTTATTTTTGCTACGAAATGAAAAGTAAAGATCTTCAGAAAGTAGCTCTTTCTAAGTAGGAAGATGGTGATGGTTCAGTCAAGATCTTTCGTGATTTAAATGGTTGTTTGGAATTAAATACTAACAAAAGGTGGCCCAAGATGATCCGTGACACCGGTTCCATCCAGCTATCAATATCGCCGGGTGGTCCACGTTTTTCTCTAGCGAGTAAAACGATTAAAAAAGCCAAGCAAAAACTCGACCAAAACAAAGCCGTGTTGGTTCGAAGTTTGGCTAAAGAATATGGTATATTCAAATCAAGTGCGCATCAAATATTGAAAGAGGATTTGAAATTTCATGCGTGCAAGCCAATAATCAAACCAAAACTCACCGACGAACACAAACCCAAATGAAAAAAATTCGCAAAATGGGTCTTCTATAATTTTCAAAAAGAAGACACAATGCGAATCTTATTTTCAGGAACAAAAATGTTCGATGCCGACGGCATATATAATTCCCAAAATCAACATATTTGGGCGACCAGTCGTACCGAAGCAAATCAAAAAGTGGCATCAAACTGACACACAAGTTTCCTAAAAAGGTCATGGTCTGGCTGAGTGCTAGCTTCAAAGGAGTGGTACCCTTAGTCATCGTTAATCAAGGTGCAATGGGCCATGTTGAATATATCCAGAATGCTCTTCCAGTAGCACGAAAATATGGAAATGAGACCTTTGGCGAATGCTGGACATTTCAACGAGACGGTGCGAAACCTCATGCCCATCGCCTAACGCAAAAATGGTGTCTCGATAAGTTTTCATCGTTCACGGATGAAAATGATTGGCCACCGAATAGTACAGATCTAAATCCGTTGGACTATTCTATATGGGACGAATTTGGACACGCCATCAACTGGGATAAAGTATCATCGAAAGGCATACTTATTCAAAAATTGAAGCAAGCAGTCAGAAAAATTCGACACAAGGTCGTTTTAGAATTTTATTCATCTTGGACTGTTCGTTTGAAGCGTATCTTAGAAAATGATGGATGTTTAGTTATTTAGATAAATAAAAAAAATACACGATTTCTTAGAGCATCTCAAGAAGCCTTAAAAAAACAAATCTTACTTCGAAAAAGGGTGAGATCTTAGAGTTATCAGTAAAATACTGGGAGACCCATTCTTCCTGGGACACACGATAGTTCGTAGTTAGTTCGCTAACCAATTAATTAATAATGAAACATAAGCAGGAGAAAAAGACAATAATTTTACGCAGATCTATGGTAACAAGAATTATTTAGGAAAATGATCCTCCTAAAGATTAACAGTCCAGTGAAAGAGAGGTATATCTCGTTTTGCCTGATTTTGCCCATATCGGAACTGAAATGAATATTAAATGGAGAGTTTGCAAGTGTCGCCGTTTGTTAAAAGAAAACAGTGAGTGATGATTATATAATAACTGCCATAGCCTCTCGAACTGAATCCAGCAGAATAAGATTCAGAATCAATATGAACATACCAAAGTGGTTCACATCTTGAATACCGTATAGAATGATCTCTAGCGCGTCGAACACAGCAAAAGGCGCAACTGCACATCCAGTTATAAGAATGATTGCTAAAGGTAGTTTATAATGACTGAAGATGCCAAATGGCACATTTGCTACTAGATTTCAGAAATTTTGAACCGTTGCATAAAAGTAGCAAACTAGAATTCGAAAGAAACAACATGAGATGTGGACATCATCGATAGTTCTGAAGTATATATAATGGACAGAAAGTGAATCCCACACTAGGTGGCGATTCTATTTAGGTATGAAAGCAGAACAATGTTTGCAGAAGTGTTGAAATACCACTGATTATGAAAAATGAAAAACTCGATATTGCCCTATAAATCAATCTGGACATGGCTAATTAAGCAGACTTCCAAACAACATCAATCATTCTGATGCTATATTGAATATACAGGTTTCCTGAAACGCATCCTCATGAGACGCGGATGCTGCGATATGCTATGACAGCGGTGATCGTTAGGGAATGCGCTCCACGGTCATATGATTATCATAGCTGATGCTGCTAAAGAAATTTAGGCATCTGCAGCATGAACACTCATCTTCTCTTTTCATTTTTGTGACTCTCAGAAACATCAAAACCGATTGTACTCGATTGTTGCTCTTAACAGATCTTTCAGATGATAAAGTGTATGAAGGTTGTCATTGCTGATGAGGAAACTAATCCTGTTTTTACATGAACTCTTCGAATTCATCAGTACTATTGTGTAGAAAAGTTATTCTTTCTTGTTAAGAACGTACATACGTGTACGCTTCGAATCTTTTTTTTTGTAAGTTTGTTGCTATGAGATCCAAGATCGTCTTCTTACCTCCGGCATGACCAGCAGACGCAACTTTCGCTGATTGTTGTCCCACATTTGCACGTCGTGCGACTGATGTCTCTCTAGATGCGTGTTGTCTGTTTGAATGATTATCAGTTGCATCGATGGCTGCACCTGCCGACGGTTTTCTCACATCTCTCATATGACTATTTGCCACCACTAATCTCACTTGTGGTGACAATGATTTTATTGATGCTGCACCTCTAGTGGATGCAGGGCTTGCTTTAGCTTTGGAGCTAGCTGATGCTGGAGGTTTTCTTTGATCCATCGCACCGATAGTAGTCGAAATGAGAGATTTCACAACATGAATGATACTAACAGATAAAGAACAAGCAACAAAACTATCACGATGAGTAACAAACTTTTCTTTTTTTCACTATTTTATCTCCAAGTTCTTATCTTATGTTGCTATATTGCTCTTGGACAGCGGCGGCGAAATGGATTGTGAGGGGAGAGGGCTCACGAAACTTTTTTGACTTTTGGGATGCTCAAATAGTTTTTCTCGTGAGATTTTGCTGGGAGAGGGTGTGGGTGGCTGTGGGTGTGAGTGGGGGTGAGAGTGTGGGTGGGTGTGGGTGAGTGTGGGTGTGGGTGTGGGTGTGGGTGTGGGTGTGGGTGTGAATGTTGTTCCTTTGTTCATTCACACTCACACCGAAATCTGGACACATACGAAGGGAGTCTTACAAATTTTCTGATGTCCAACAAGCTAGTAGGGATATTTGTTTGCGACTTGCCAATAAAATTTTTGAGGATAAATTTTGTGGAACTCACATATATTTTCGAAGAAAATAGTGAGTGTAAGTTTTCAGTTCAAGTTTTGGGCGGCTCCCCCTTCCACCCTTCCCATTACAGACACCTATCAACGGAGAAAGAGAATATTATAGACAAGTCACCATTACAGACCTCAGCAAGCGCGCATAAAAGGCTTCAGATTCTATATAATATATCAATGCTTTCAATAAATATTCGAAAAAAAGCTATTTTGTAGTTTAAAAATCAGGCATCAGGATAACAAAAAGGATATATGTGAGTTCCACATTACAGCTCCTTTGAAGCTGCGCTAACAGGCTTTATTATTAGCAATATTCTTGTAATGAATTTATTTGAATATAAATATAGTAGTAAAATAATTAAATATCTCCCAAGGGGAAAACAGCGAAGACTTCACGACTAAAGCCTCATGAAGTCTTGAAAGTCTTTCGAAGTCTTCTGAAATCTCTTGAAGTCTTCTGGAAGCTTTGAAATACATTTCGTACATGAAAATTCACAAGAAACCAATGAAATTGTCTTGTTTTCGACGGTCTTATTTTAGTAGAAAGGTAAACTTTTTATTGTTTTTTTTAATGCACTGGAAAAAATTCAAGCTTGTTTGATCTTAGAAAACATGATAATTAATAAGTGAATGTTTTTTGAATGAAGTGGTTTATTTTTATAAGAAATTTTCCATATATCCACATCAATCTGATGAAGATTTTCAACCCTTTTTGTTTGTTTCTATCACTCGTGATAATCTATCAGCCGATAAACGGCTAACTTTGCCGGTCCATAACCAACAAGCCGTTTGCTTATGTATAAATTTAGTCTTGTTATTTATTTGCACTTGAAAATAGGAGTTTTTCATTGCTTGATTAATCGAATCGAATATACGCATACCAGTAAAATTTATTTTCTCAATTTTAATTTCATCAAAGTTTTGTGTCATTGCCGCATCTTTATCTTCTTCATCCACATTGATTAGATCACTATCAAATTCATTACTTTCCATTGCTTCATCATCATAATCAGATTCAGAATCTGATGAAGAATCTGAATCCGTTGCTAAATAATTATCCGAATTAATGTTGAATCTAATACTATCAGATATATTTTTACTTAAACCATTAAGTTCACAAGCATAGCATTCCTTTAATGAAGGTAATATATTCAAATTACTAACTAGTGCTTTTGCACGGTTAAATGCAGCTAAAATAATATTTTCAACGTTGATTTTATCAATATCATTCTGTTCCTAGTGCTCGAAAAACGCTAGTTACTCCGTTATGAATGAGAGTGTCAGTTTATGTTTACTTTTCATTTAATTTACGCGTAAATTAAATGATAAGTAATTTGTATTTATTATAAAGTACATCGTAAATGACACCCTTACTTAACGATAAGCTTTTTTGCATGTTATAGAGGTTTCATTTAATTTCTATAATTTTTTTTGATACGCATGGAATCTGCCTCTTGAAGTCTTGTGAAGTCTTTTGAAATCTTACGAAGTTTTGTGAAGTCTGTAGAAGTCTTGTGAAGTCTTATGAAGTCTAATGAATTCTCATAAAGTCTTTTGAAGTCTCATGAATTCCGTGAAGTCTCAAGAAGTCTATGAAGTCTCATGAAATCTTTTGAAATCCAATGAAGTCTTCAGAAGTCTTTTGAAGTCTTTTGAAGTCTTGTGAAGTCATTTGAAGTCCTATGAAGTCTTTTGAAGTCTTGTGAAAATATGAAGTCACTGCGGCTGAAGTCCGTTGAAGTCTCTTGAAGTCTTTTGAAGTCTTGAAGTCTTGAAGTCCGCTGTTTTCCCCTTGATATCTTCCTAAATATGTGAACTGAGGGTTTATGATGCTCTGGGTTTGTTTCTCGTTAATTAAGGAAAAAAAACGCATTTAACAACTGTTTTTTATCTTGATTATCATCACAAATGGTTCATTTAAAACAACAATCTTTGCAAAAAAATTTCTTTTCAACTATTTTTTCTCACAAAGTTTCACTTTCTCTTAAAAGAAATATTTGATGATCACATAGATAATGCATTCTTCTCAGCATTACCATATTCCAGTATCAGAATGCCATCAAAATACTTTAGAAGACTTAGTAGGAATAATTATAAGATAGGAATTGAATGATTATAACGATCACAATGAATACAGGTAATGTTTTATTCATCACGCTTGCCAATGTGAAAGAATAACTTGCTAGTATACATAAAATTTTCAATAACATGAGACATAAATAGATGTCATAATAATAAGAATGAAAAATACGTTTGATTTTCTTATTCACCGAAATCAAAAGTAAGAAATAGTGGATACGATTACCCATGGCATGAGAAATGAATGACTCTTAATAATATTAAGGAGCTATGTAACTTAATGCATACTTAACAAACAAGATTGGAAGTTGAACGCAGAAATGAATAATCACGTAAGAAATGAATGATTCTAATTTTCAAGAAACAGTTCAACATTTGGATTAAGTCGAAAGAAAAGATTCTGATTTAGTCATATGTCCGATTACGGTTTAATAAATGAATTATTTTAACCGGGAGGATTCTGTACAATTCATTTAATTATTTGAGAAGAAATATTAGAAAATAATTACATACACCGCATAACAAAACGAATGAATAATTCAGGGAAGCGTCAATTCACATTCTTCTCTCATATTGAAACAGATTTTTTCATAATGGGAAAATAGTTCATTACTGCAAAGAAAATAACTAATCAAAATTAGGATAGTTCTATTTAAATCTTTAGATCATCCTCAAGGAAATCTCTATAGCTGACAACATAATCCATAATTGCATCGAATTCGAATAATTCTAAGGAGTAATTTGTTCAACTGCTTTTTGAATATTTAAATAAAACTTTTTTGTTAGTCATTTAGCAAGTTATTAAATAAGAAATCAATAGCCTTCAGCAGAACTGAATTCAACTATGATAGATCAATGATTAGACAAAGCCTGTTCAGCAAATAATATACCTATTGATTGAATGATATGTGAATAATTGTAAGGAAGATTTTGTTCAAAAATTGTTTTCATTGGAAGCAAAGACGTACCTATTCTTATATAATCAATCGTTTCGTATAAAATGAAAAATTACGACGGCCACAATTTTCACAGTTACTATTTCATTCATCAATGTTCGTCTACACAGGAAAAGATTGATGATCAGTAACATTATGGACAAGTGCAATAAAAAATGACCAATTATTACCAATGATCTGATCAACTATATTCGTTTCCTATATAAAAAATATGTTTCATCTGAAAACACAGTTAACACTGATATATCTAATGAATAAAGTTTATTATGAAAGCCAGTTGGAAGAGTCTGGTAAACTATTTCGATCATTTGAAAAGAAATACATCGAAATGATAAGATGATCGATAATAACCTACTAGATGAACGATTATCACCACCAGAAAGGCTCCGTTAACTGTATTTGCTCGGCTCCCAGCAACCTGATCTAGTCGATAAAATGTTCAATGATTTCATATGAAATGAATAATACTCAACAAAATTTTGTACGATTATATTTTCAGTATAAAGCAAACGCTTTCAGTTCTTTACATCATTGACAAACACATCGAACATGTATGTTTCTCAGTAACATAAAAATTAGATTCAATAACTTTATTCATTTTGATACAAAGTTTTTGCAGCTGACAACAAAATCAATAAGCATATGCTAGATAAAAGACTCTTATGAAGATCTCGTTCAACGCTTTTGCTTCTTCGAGAACTAAGTTTTCGAATGCTTTCCACGTTCGAGAATCAACTAAGAAATGAATCTTGTCAATGCCTACAAAAATAACATTCTCATGATAATTCTTTTCGAATATAATGCTCCTCTCTCATCACAAAAAAAACAGTATGGCTAATACATATCGTGATTCGTAATCACGCTATCGAAGAATAATTCTAGAAGCTGGGCTCCATACAAAAATCTAGAAGAATACGTTTTCCAACATTCCGATGTTCAGAGAGAAATGCATTGTAATATTTTTTTTCTATAATAGGTACGAATTTCTTGCAGTGAAATGTGAAACTTCTATTTTTCCATTGTTACTGTAGAAAATAGTTTTATGATTAACATTTATTTAGAGAAAACATTCTTTTTTTGTTCGACAATTCAGAAAATAAGGTTATAAATATCTGTACTCTGTGTTCAACAAAAGAAGTGAGAGAACTGCTTTTTTCAGTCGTTTATTCTATTATAATTCTTTGTTTGACACGATTGACAGTCGTTTACTGCTAGAAAGATTGTTTAGTTTTTTTGAGAATAAGCTCTCTCATAGATTTAGAAAAAAGAATAAACAAGAAACATTGTAAAACTAAGAATGATCACTGAAATAAGAGTGAGACACATATAGGGTAATTTTTTATTACTTACTGATTACAAACTTGAAGTTCAACGATCTGGTGCACACTAAAAGATAGTTGCTAGACTCACAAGTTACTTTAATATCACGCAAAAATCGAACAGTAATAATCAGGTGATGGACAAACAAACTTTTTCTCCGACGACATGTTGACGATGGAGTCTTCCGAATAGTTTTACAAAAATTAACTATAAATTTTAAAAAAATCAAGTTGAAGTATATTTAAAAAGAGACAATGAAATTAAAGCTGCCACGAAAAAATACGTTCGAGTCGTTCCCAAAGCTAAACAAACTATTTTTAAATGAAATTTAGTTTTGAACTTCGGTTTCATATAATGAAGCGTGCATTAGATTACTGAAGTATATCGAGATGAAGGAATTTTTTCATGCCATAATTTAATTCGCTTTTCTAAATAAGTCTACTGATGAAAATCAGATGAAAGTTCGAACATTTTTGTTCAAGCGGGTTATTATTTGTTACCTTTTAACAGAATGTAACAACCAGCTTGTTTGTTACAAGAATATAAGACTCACATTTTTTTTCTTTTCTTGTTGTTAAGGGAAATTTGCCAGTCACCTGAGATAAATAGTAATTTATAAATGTTGAAGTGACTGCTTATATGTGAGTAAATATTTACTCAATAGAGTATTCGAAAGTTTGACAGTATAATTCATACTGAATCACCCGACTATGGATTAACTTACAGAACATATGGGAGAAAACACGCAGCACAAGGGATTTTTTTTTATATGAAACTCGATATGAATCATTACTTACAAAAATCATATATGCAAAGTGGAAGAAGGGTGTGAGTGTGAGTGTCGATGTGGGTGTGGGTATGGGTGGGTATGGATGTGGGCGTGGGTGTGGGGTGGGTGTGGGTGTGGGTGGGTTTAGGTGTGGGTGTGGGTGTGGGTGTGGGTGTGGGTGTGGGTGTGGGTGGGTGTGAATGGATGAAAAAAGACTCGCACCCACACCCGCATCCGCACCCACACCCACACCCACACCCGCATCCGCACCCACACCCACACCCACACCCACATCCCACCCATTTGTAAGGTTCACAAAAACGTCTTCAAGAAATGATCATGAATACTTCACAAAAACAAATCAAAGTGAGCAATCAAACCCAAGGTGGAAACAGCGGACTTCAGGACTTCAGGACTTCATTGGACTTCGTTGGTCTTCATTGGACTTCAATAGAATTCATTGGACTTCGTTCTTCTCTGAGTTCTGATGTTCATGCTATTGTAAAATCTGCTGCTTTCTGAGATAATCTATTAAAAAACAAAGAACAAATATGATTTTAGTGATAAGACATGTGGCCTTTCGCAGACACTATGCAAATGTTATTTAATAACCGTTCACTCAAAGAAAAAAGTTTTTTTTATTACTATCAGCATTTCGTGTATTTGCTTAAAAATGATTGATAAAATGTAAAACCAATTAAAAAACGAGTATATAGATATGAAAACAATTAATTGCGTAAAAGATAAAATGTTAAGAAAACAATAGGTGAATTAGTAAGTAAAAAAAGACTTGATAAAAAATGTTTCTGAATGAGATACGAGCAAACAAATAATACGAGAAGTATAGACAAGACGCTGTTGCGTATGTAAATCTTATTCTCTTCTCGTATTATATGAAGATTCTATTGAGTTAAACTTTCTTTTTACTTTTCTTTTAGTTTTTAATGATGATGACGATTTTTCAATACTTTCATGATCATCTGTTGATATTGAGATAGATGATGATGTAGAAAATGTTGAATTTGATGGGATTGTGACTGATACTGATGCGGAAGGTACAAAATTCAGTGATGATGATCGTTGATGTAGCACAGTATTTGGAGTTGCAAATGATTGTTGATTATCTGCTGTTGTTGATGACGTTAATTGATGAATTTTTATTATTTCTTTTATTGTATTACATGTATTACCATTACGAAAGTCTTGTAAGTGTCTGTAGAAGTTCGACAGTTGAAATTTACCACGGAAAATCGTCAATGATAACGATTTTTTACAACAGTATTTTATATTACCTTGTAATGCACCACTTACATCATCAAATATCGAAATAAAATAATGTTGACCTTCAACTAAAGATAATTGTGATAAATCAAATTTTGATTTATTTTTTTCGCACCAGCTATTCAATGTATCAATTAGATATGTTTTATATTCATTAATTGATACATTAGAAGATTTTGATGTTATTATTTCTGATGAACTATTGGATGGAACAGGCGATGTTGCTTTTGTTATTGTTGATGATGTATCTGTGGTTTTATCTAGTGATGATAGTAATTGATTGCGTTTGGATAATTTAGCTAATTTTGCGTCATCAATACATTTTTTCTTTAACAAATCAATAAGATATTGTACATTTCCTTTTATTCCAGGTTGTATAACAAATGTACCATCGTCTTGCATATAACCATATTTGTTTTTAAAATCATTTAAACTGTTACTCTTGAAGTCCATAATAGAGAAAACATTATCTGTCATCAGCAATGACTTGACACAATTAATACCATGTACTTCAAGTAGAGCAGCAGTAGCATGACCGGCTTCTTCTTTAACGAAGTCAATAAATTTATCATCACGTAATGACATGACATTTGGTGGTAGTACAGATGTATCAATAAGAACATCTAATTGAAACATGTTTGGGTATTAATTATTTATGAAAACAAGTTTCTCTAGAAAACGATGTAAGTGAAAAGGAAGAAAATGTAATGGATATCATCTATGACATGACTACAATTATCGAACTCATTTTTCTATTCTTTTTCTAGATAAATAAAAAAATTCGTTATTTTCTTCTTATGGATGATACATTGACAGAAAATGTTTTTTCTTTAAAAAACGATGACTTTTTTGGTTTTATTCAAGCATTAGTTGGACAACAAATGGTAGATATTCTGAAATTTCAATCAATTACATCTACACAATCTCTTATTCGAAATCCGAATATCTTCGATATATTTAATATGGAGTGTTCGGAATCCAATTTCTTAATGATAAGAGATGGATCATGTTTCCAGCTTGATAATGGAAAATTTATTGTAAAAATTGGGTTAATAAATAATTTGAATTGTTTATTGGATTTTTTAAAACAACAACAACAAAAAAAATTATGGCAAGCAGTTATGTTGATTCTAATCCCAGTTTATCATTTGATTTTATCAATAAACATCCATTGTTACAAAAATTAATTACTTGGTATCAGCAAGTTGGCACTGAGAATAAAGATAATGAAAATAAGCATGGATTTTTAAAACATTTTATTGATACTATCGCTAACAATTTTACAAAGTCAAGCAATAATTTACCATATAGTGATACAATCAAGAATTTTGCTTTATCGTTATATATATTAGGTGGAAAATTGACGTATGAATTCATTAGATTAAATTTACCTGGATCTTTACCTAGTTTAACTATGTTAAATACGTTAATTTCAAACTTGAATTCAAAAATCAGTGAAGCCGAATTTCGATTCGACCAACTTCAAAAACATTTTGATGATTATAATGTTCAATATGCATTCGGCTCGGAAGATACTACTGGTATAATTAAAAAGATAAAATATGATTCAACAACAAATACATTCAATGGATTTCCTACACCACCTGATCATGGAGTACCAATTAAAGAATATTATCAAACTAATTCATTTGATACATTGAAGTTAGGGTTTAATTCAATAGATAAATCATCATTACTGAATGTACATATGATTCAACCAGTACAGTCCATAAATCAAAGCATTATTCCAAGTCCCTTTTTATTATCAGCATATGGAATTGATAACACAGCTACAGCGAACGATATATTACAAAGATGGTGGTATATATTCAATCAATGCTTACAAAGAAATATAAGAATTATTGGTTTTTCTACTGGTGAGAAAATAAGTAAATATTGTTAATTCAAATCTTACTCTAGAGTAACTTTTTTTTATAGATGCTGATGCTAAATATCTACGCGCTATGAGATTAATGAGTGGTTTTTTTGGGTCTCTTCCTAATTTTCAAGTTCATCAACATCCGCAAGCGTTCCAAATAAAAACAACATCACGCTGGCCTTGGTTTTATCTACGTGAACAACAACTATACTATTGTTTTCTCAAGACCCAACTCATCTGGTTACAAAATGGCGTAATCGTTTATTATCATCAACAGCTGAATTATGTCTTGGTAATCAATTTATATTGATCAGTCATTTACATGACATTATCAATAATGAAACTTATTCTAAACTTGACCGTGGCTTAACGAAGTCTGACATTAACCCTAAAGATCGTCAAAACTTTAGTTCTTGTTTGAAATTAACATCTGCTGATCTATTTAAAATTTTAAATGATGATGTTAATACTCGGGGAACCCTGATTTATCTTCAGATGTTAAAAATGATTATATTGGCTTATGTTGAGAAAAAAACAACTATTGCTGAACGTAAATAGGCCTATTTATTATTTTCACTGAATGAGAGCGGAAAACTCTTCATTCAAAACAACTCACATATAATAATATTTTATTTTAGGACTAAGGTATGCTTGGTGTGTGGTATTTTTCTGTCGAATATGGTTTACATGGATCAAATTCAAAACATTTAATTCAACGCAAACTACAGAAAACAGTAAAAGCAGATATTTCATTACTAGACCAGCATTTTTATCGGTCGAAATAAACGCACATAATTTGTTATATTTTATTTTACTTGTCAAACAAAAACGTCTACCACCACATGCGTTACATATTTATATTTTTAATTCGCAAGCTTGCGAATCGATTTTTAGAAACACGCGAGCATTAAGTGGCATCTACTCATCTATCATCAACTTTACAGTACATGATTTTTTACGACGTGCTCAAAGATTGTCTTTATTGAATGAAATTAAATTTAAACAGTTAAATAATGAATCAGATAATAATTTGGTCTTTCCAGTTCATCACAAACATCGAAATGATCGTCAATCATCATTTACACAAAGTCAAAGTGAGATTGATCAAATAGATATCGAACGAATTATTACCGAAGCCTACCATGAAGCTATGGACATGCTTGATGGTTTAGAAATATTGAATTTGCTGAAAAAAAAA